TCCCTTCCGCGTGGTTTCCTGCGTCAGCGTCTCTGCCACGCGGCGTGTCCTGGTTGGCCGAGGCTGCTGACGTGGTGTAATTTTTTTAAATTACGTTTTAAGCCCCCAGTTTTCAATTTTCTTTTCAAAAATATCCCTATAACTTAAACTTTTACCCATTTTTCTTAAAATTATTTTCAATTAAATCTCTAAATAATTTTGCCAATTTTTATTATTATTATTTCTATTTAAATAAATTAAATTAAATTAAAATCATATATTATTACATAATAAATCATTACATTCATATAATAATTATAAAAAATTAAAATAAAATAATAATAATAATAATAAAAAAAAAAAAAAAAAAGGGTTGGGGTGTTACACAAACAAATCTAAAATGAACTTATTCTTGATTTTCATTTGTTTTTCTTCTTATTGATTCTCTTGCATTTTTTTTTTAGTTTGTTATTTTTAAGCTGTGTTTTTAATATTTGTTAAAACTCAAATAGTATCGTTAACATAAAAATATTTAATTAAAATTAATATATTATTATTTCTCAACATGTTAATTACAAGAACAACCATTTAGGAATAACTTGGGAGTTAAATTTTTACTATATGTTAAATAAAAAATAAAATAACAATTATATACATTAAGTTAAAACTTATTTCCTCCGAATGAAAAATTATGTTTTGACAAATTATGTTGGTGAATAAAATTATTTATGGTAGAATTTGTGAGAAAAATATATTTTTCTAGACATCAATTTTTTTCTCACTTAGAACATTTATGATAAATTACAAAAAACTTAATTGTATATCATAGTTTGTAAAATTGAATAAAAGACTATTATACTTTACCAACTGCTATATTACTTATACCCCAGAATTTAATTTCGGTGTTAAATTTAATACAAATTATAAAATTATTATATTGCCCCTAACTTAATAATGCAATTGTCATAATAGCTTTAATAATTTATTTAAGAATAAAAACGTAAAAAAATTATGACATAATTTATTTCCTTAATTGATATAAGAAAAATGATTTAAAAAACAATTCTTATTGGGTGAGATTAGTATAATAAAGAGAGATATATATATATATATAATATTAACGAAATAAAAGAAAATCATATAGTTATATTTTAACGTAAAACATTTTGATTTACCACCCAATAGCAATAAATAAAGGAAGTCCCTCTCAATCAATATCAATTCTTGAAATTTCACACACTTTACTACACTGTCGAGACCCAAGATCCACATTCGAAATTTGAAACACCCATCAAAATTTTAAAATCACTTAATGATGATAACAAATTTATTGGAGTAATTTTTTAATAAAAACTAGATCTGATTTTCAAAATTTAAAAATACTACCAGAGATCATCGGTGGAATTTTGAAATATCATTTTAATTATCTCTTTCTTGCCTTAACATTTTAATTATCCATGGAACGTGCAAATCACTAATTACTAATTGCTAATTAGCTAAACATTTGGGTGCATCGTATTTTTGTATCCCAATAATCACGAGGAGGAAATATTGATTATTGTAGTGGCAGCCATTGATGAGTTTGGAAACCTAACAAAATTGAAAATGATCATTTCATCTCTCCCTCTCTCTCTCTCTCTCTCTCTCTTATTTATGGGTGTCTGTCAGTCTTTAATATTTTACCTAAAAAGAAATTTAAAAAGGCAAAACCCATTTAGCAAAATGCTTGTTTCATCTGAGATTTATTTATGGCATATGAGCAAAATTTCTTGCCTGAAATTCCAGGGGAGGCTGAAAGATCTTCTCTAACCTAACAGAGAAAGAGAAGTTTCGGCCTTCTTTCTCTTTGGCTCTTTTTAGAGACAAAAAGTTCACTAGAAAAAACTAACCCTTTAGTGGGTCTTCTGCTTTAATTGCTGCAGAGTGTTGTAAAAAGCAGACATGGTGGGGAAGAGAGGTTAAAGACTTGTTTTTTAGTGTGAAAAATTGAATCCTTTTTATTTTTAATTTCTGGGTTTTGAAATATAAAAAAAAAGGAAAAAATTTTCAAGTGATTCACGGGATTGTATCAGGCGGGTAATGGGTGTTGTTGGTTTCTAGTACACGTTGCTCCAGAAAGTGAGAGAAATTTATTTTTAAGAGAGAATCCTTCCGGCGCATTTTTTGAATTCGAGGAGGTGAGTAGTTTTCTTCCTCTCAGTGATTATTACTACTTTTTCACTATATATATAATATATATATGTTACTTTATCCCCTTTTTATACCTCGTCTGTAATTCTTGTATTGTTGAATGTTTTTTTAGAGAAGCTTGTATGGTTATATGCTAATATTAAGTGCAATTTCTTCTTATTTCAAAGTTAATACATATTATAAATGTCTCTGTGACTCTTTTTGTCTTGTAATGCAGTTCTTCACGAGGTTCTGTCAGATTTTCTTTTTCTTTTTCAAAAAAGAAGGAAAAAAATCTAATCTTACATTCATATTTATTTAAGGTTTGGATGCCATTTTCTTTTGTTTGTTAATGTTTTGCTCCACACTGTTCCCTCATCACTTCTCTGATTGCAACCTGTAAAGATTCTAGAGATCTTGCAGGCCCTCCCTCTCTCTCTTTAAATAAACTCCAGTCGGTGTGTCTTTTGCGTTCAGTAGCTTTTGAAAACTTTTGTTTCTCTCTGGACTGTTTTGTTTTTTTTTTTTTGGGAGGGGAAACCCTTTTCTCCCCGAAAACACCACCTGGGTCTATTTCTCCTGGGAGCTTGACATTTTATCCTTTTCTCCATGAAATTCCTCCTGGGTTCTTGTTGTTTTCTGTGCTTCTGTTCATTTCAAATTTTACATTGAGAGAAAATGTATTTTCCTCGGTTTTTCTTTAGGATTATCTTGAGTCTGAAAAAAAAACCTTTTCTTCCATTTTTGTAGTCTGTAATTGCAACTTCCATAGAAACAGTGAAGATGGGCAAAGCTGCAAGATGGTTAAAGGGCTTGTTAGGTATGAAAAAAGAGAAAGAGAGAGAGAAAGCGACAGGGCGGTACCACGTGGATAATTCGAATGCAGTTAATTCAGACAAGAAAAGATGGAGTTTTGGCGTCAAATCCGGAAGAGACAATAGCGTCAGTCCCCGGATTCCGGCAAATATTCCGGTGAATGACTCGTCTTGGCTCAGATCTTACCTGGCTGAGTCGGAGAATGAGCAGAGCAAGCACGCAATTGCAGTAGCCGCAGCTACAGCGGCAGCGGCTGATGCGGCAGTTGCTGCTGCTCAGGCTGCGGTAGCTGTGGTGCGGCTTACCAGCAATAGCAGAGGAACTATTGTAGGTGGTGGCAGAGAGAGGTGGGCTGCCGTCAAAATTCAAACTTTTTTCAGAGGATATTTGGTAAGCCAGTTTTCTTCTTTTTTTCCCCCCCTAATTAACGCTACTTGAAATTTGAATCTCAACAGTTCATTTTCTCATCTGGGTATTGCTAGATTTTCCTGGTTGGCTTATTTCATTGATGTATTGTATATAAGGTTTGGATTTTATGGATTTACATTTCTGGGGTCTTACTTTTTTGCCTGTTGTTTAAAGCTATAGATGGATCCTTGGAGGTACAGATTGAAAATGGTAATGGAACGGTACATATTTTCTTTTGTTTGGGAAGGTCAATGAAAGTACATGATCTTTTTTGTACTTTATTTCTTTTGACTTGATAAAGCTAATAGCTTTCTTCTTGATTTTGTCTGCTTTTGCAAAAACTGGGTGATATAATGGTAGGTCCAAATTTGGTTGTAATGAAACAGTAAATCTGTTTTCTTGGGTCTATGTAACGGTTCATGTCTCATACTTTTCTTTTTGACTTGGCTCAATTATTCGTTTATTTTTCTTCACTTGTTCTTTCTTTTTTTTTTTTGGTCCCCCAACCTGAATTTGGATTTTTAAAATTTGAAAGCTTCATTCGTGTGTATATGTTGACATTGATTCTGGTTCCTGATTAATTGACAGTCCCGGAAGGCACTTCGAGCTTTGAGGGGTCTGGTGAAGTTGCAGGCTCTTGTTAGAGGCTATCTTGTCCGAAAACGTGCTGCTGCTACCCTTCATAGCATGCAAGCCTTAATCAGAGCTCAAACTGCAGCGAGATCGCAACGTTGTAAGCGTTCCCTCAGCAAAGAGAAGAGGTTTCATCAACCCGAATTTCGACCCCCGAAATCTGTTGTAAGACACACCCGTGGCCTCTATTTGGTTTTGCTTTCTTTATGCTTTAAATGTGATTTGTGAATAATTTTACAGGAGAGATTTGATGATTTGAGAAGCGAGATACACAGCAACAGGCTATCTGCTGCTTCAATTGAAGCGAAGGCCTACGATGATAGCCCTAAAATTGTTGAGATTGACACATTCAAACCTAGGTCGAGATCTCGAAGAATGAACATTGCGCTATCTGAGTGTGGTGATGACTTCCATTACCATGGCATGTCATTGCCTTTCTCAGCTCGGATATCAGTACCAAATTACCAAAACATTCAAGACTTTGAGTGGTGCATCAATGGAGATGAATGCAAGTTATCTACGGCGCAAAGCACTCCACGATTTGCTTGCTCTGCACATCCAATGGCCCCTCCTACCCCGGCCAAGAGTGTTTGCGGGGAAGGATGCTTCAGAACATTCTCAAACAACCCTAATTATATGGCGAACACACAGTCTTTCAAGGCAAAGTTGAGATCTCACAGTGCACCGAAGCAGAGGCCGGAGCCAGGATCAAAGAAGAGGATATCTCTGAATGAAATCATGGCATCAAGAAACAGCATCAGTGGTGTTAGAATGCAGCGGTCTTCTTGTTCTCAAGCTCAACAGGTTGTGCATTTTTGAGGGAGCATTCAGATAGGAGATAGGAGATTGAGTTTATTGTTCACAACAGAATCTAACAGACTGCTGCTGTAAATGCATTTATAAAAAAAAAAGAAAAGTTTCTTATCAATGAAATCAGACATTTCTTTCAAACTTTTAGATTATGTTTGAAACAAATTGAGAAATGATAACTATAGATTTTGGTTATTTAGTTATAAATATAGATTTTGGGTAATTAAGAGAATGTATAACAAGTGCCATCAAATATAATATTGGAAGACATGTTTATATATATAAGGCTTTTCAAATAGACTTGTTTATATGCAAATATAATAAAAAAAACATGTCTGAAAAAATAACGAATTTTAGTTAAATGAATATATTTATAGGTGGGTGTTTAACCCCCATTAATTAAAATGATTTATTCTCATTAAGGCAAAAAACTTCATTAAATGTCTTAATTTCTAACTTCATCAAAATATGAGCTTAATGCAAGGTTTCTACACAAGTTAATAAATTATTAAAAGTTTATGTAATTCTTCTATAATTCTAAAGCTAATAAACAATTTTAAATATTATAAAACGTTAAAATATGTTAATGAGTATTTACTTATAATTTTAGATGAAATGCCAAAATCTTCTTTAAAATCTCATGCACTCAAATTATTAAATAAATATCCAAAAATTAATAATATATATACATGTTGAAGAAAAGTCTAACACATGATTATTGTAGCCTAAACGAGTATCTAGGCAGACTCTAATTCAACATTTATCAAATTTCTTAAGATTTAATATAAATTTATTATTTTTTATACAACTCAATGAATTTCTGTAACGAACCCACAAATTCTAAACAAAATAAATTATGAATTTAGTGCAGATACGAAATAAATAGTTAAGATTGTAAATTCATTACACATAAACTTAAAGTTCCAGATATATGAGAATTACTCTCTGAAGGAAATATAAAAAAAAATAAGAAAATAAACGGGAAATAAATAAAACTAGCATCCTACTCGCAACCTTATTGTAGATCGGGATCTGGATCCTAGTCCTCTTGATCTAAAATTGTTAATAAATGAATGAGCTACACTATCCCAGTAAAAATATCACGCTACTCTCCGATACATAAATGAAAGTTGGTAGAAAAATTAAAACAACTAATGGAGTTATTAATTAAACAAATTCATTTATCATAAATAAAATTGTTTAACGCCTACTTACCGTAGCGCAATTTACAAAAACGTGTAACAACCATAACGTAACACATATCATGATATCATATTCAAGTAACCAAATCAAAAACTTTTCTTTTTTATCAGCTTACTAGTATCCATGGAGGTTCATAGGGATGTCTCATCAACGCATGAACTATTTTCTTTAACATTTCCAAGTAACGGGCCGTCCCCATACTCCGTCCAGTATG